CAAACTGAATGAACAAGCATCTCAAACAGGTTATTAAGAGAAAGGAGAAGGCCAAAAAGGGATGGATCAGCAAGGAATGCTACCTCTTTGAGGTCAGAAGGTGTAGGGAAAAAGTGAGAATTGCCAAAAGCCAAGCAGAGTTGGATCTTCCAAAGGAAATTGAAACTAACGGTAAAAGGTTATTTAGCCATATAAATAAAAAGAAAACAAACAAAGAAGAAGTGGGGCCGCTAAGCATTGAGGATGGGTGGAGATTAAAGATAATCTAGGTTTGGCCCGACATTTTAAATGAATGCTTTGCCTCTGTTGTTAAGAAGGGTAATGATGAGCCTGGGGTCATTGGTAGGGTGGCTAATGGGAAGAAGGATATGGAAGTAGAAATTACCACATCCAGGGTGGAAGCCAAACTCAAACAGCTTAATGGAACCAAATCAACAGTCCTGGATAATCTCCATCTAAAAATCTTAAAGGAACTGACACATGAAATTGCAAGCCCAATAGCAAGGATTTTTAATGAATTCATAAACTCGAGGGTTGTACCCTCTGAACTGGAAGATTTTAAATATAGTACCTATATTTAAGAATGGGGGTGAGGGGAAGTGATCCAAGAAACTACAGTTTGACTTACAGTTTGAATCCATTAATTTGACCTCAGCTATATTCAAGGTTTTAGAACAAATTTTGAAAGAGAGAGTAGTTGAGGACATAGAGGTAAACAATAATTAGGATAAAATACAACATGGTTTTACAAAAGGCAGTTTGTGCCATGTGATCTCTTTCTTTGAGACAATAACTGATTTTATAGAAAATAGAAATGCAGTCAATATAATCTACCTGGATTTCAGTAAAGAATTTGATACAGTTCCACATGGAAAATTATTAGTTAAATTGGAGAAAATGAGGATTAATAAATGAACTGAAAGGTGGGTAAGGAACTTGTTAAAGGGGAGACTACAATGGGTCATGCTGAAGGATGAACTGTCAGGCTGAAGGGAGATTACTAGTAGAATTCCTTAAGAATCAGTCTTGGGACCAGTCTTATTTAACATTTTCATTAATAATCTTGGTACAAAAAGTGGGAGTGTGCTAATAAAATTTGTGGATGGCATAAAGTTGGGAAGTACTGCTACTATGGAGAAAGACTGGAATATTATACAAGAAGATTTGTGCAACCTTAAAAACGAGTTATAGAAATGAGATGAAATTTAATAGTGCCAAGTGCAAGGTCATGCACTTAGGGACTAACAAGAAGAATTTTTCTTATAAACTGGGAACGTATCAGTTGTAAGTGACAGAAGAGGAGAAAGACCTAAGTGTGTTGGTTGATCACAAGATGTCTGTGAGCTGCCAATGTGATGTGGCCATGTAAAAGGCTGATGCAGTCTTAGGATGCATCAGCTGAGGTATTTCCAGTAGAGATATGTAAGTTTTATTACCATTATACAAGGCACTGGTGAGATCTCATTTGGAATACTGAGTGCAGTTATGGTCCCCCATGTTTAAGAAAGATTAATTCAAACTGGAACGGGAGAAGGGCTATGAGGATGATCAGAGGAATGGAGAACCTACCGTACGAGAGGAGAGACAAGGAGCTTGGCTTGTTTCACCTAACAAAATGAAGGATGAGAAGAGAGATGATTGCTTTCTGTAAGTACATCAGAGGGGAAAACACCAGGGAGGGAGAGGAGTTATTTAAGTTAAGGACAGTGTAGGCACAAGAAGAAATGGATACAAACTGGTCATCAGTAAGTTTAGACTTGAAATTAGATGAAGGTTTCTAGCCATCAGAGGAGTGAAGTTCTGGAACAGCCTTCCAAGGGGAGTAGTGGGGGCAAAAAAACTAACTTATTTTAAGACTAAGCTTGATAAGTTTACGGAGGGGATGGTATGATGAGATTACCTACTATGGCATATGGCCTATCGGTGACTTAGCAAATCTATCCAATGGCCAGAGATGGGACACTAACTGGGGAGGGCTCTGAGTTTCCCAGGTGTCTAGCTGGTGGGTCCTGCCCACATGCTCAGGATCTAACTGATTGCCATATTTGGGGTCAAGAAGGAATTTTCCCCCAGGTCAGATTGGCAGAGGTCCTAGGGGTTTTTTGCCTTCCTCTGCAGCATAAGGCATTGGTCACTTGCTGATTTGAATGTGAATAAATGGTGGATTCTGTGTAATGTAAAGTTTTTAAATCAAGATTTCAGGACTTCAGTAACTCAGTTAGAGGTCTATTACAGGAGTGGGTAGGTGAGGTTCTATGGCCTGCAATGTACAGGAGGTCAGACTAGATGATCATGCTGGTCCCTTCTGACCTTAAAGTCCCTGAGTCTATCTACCCTAATCACTAGATTTAGATTATAAGCATTTTGGGGCAAGCACTGTCTTTTAGTTATCCACAATGGGATCCTGGTCCATGACTGAGGTAATACAAATAACTAATAGTAGTAATTATTATTAATAATTAATGATTCACTGCTTCTGGTGCAATAAATACATTATGAACTCAGTCTTCAGGTTAGTGAACTTCTCATTTTATTCTCCTCTCCATGTTTGTAAAACAGACAAAATAGGAGGGTTGGATTAGGAAGGGAAAAGATGAGTTCTCTGAGAGCAATGGATGTGAATGAATCACACCAGAAAAGCAATAAGTATGCTGCAGGTACCCCATTTTAGTTCAGAAAACGAACGAAGAAAATCTCAGACGTAAAATCCTCATACAATAAAAATCACATTTAATATAGGATACTTTCTTATTACAAAGATTGTAAACTGCTGGTTTATAGTGAGAACCATGGACAGGTATTGAAGGCTATTTTCATTGTGCTTTGTGAAAATTTTTGTGTTCTACAATTAAATTCCTGAACATTAGTACTGGGAAGTCTTCTAGGGAAGATGGCATTTCAGAATCTGTCTGAAATATACTGTATCTTTCTTTTTTTTTTTTTTTTTTTTTTTTTTTTTTTTTTTTTTTTTTTTTTTTGGCATTAATCTAAAATTAATAGAACAACTATGTAGGGCATGTGTCATTATAAATTTTGGTAATGTTATTGTAGTTGGTTGGAGTAAAGTGTATTACAATGTTAGCCTTTGGGATTCGGCTAATTTGGTTCAATATTCCCATTCTGTTTATAACTCAGGTTCTAGGAACTTGATTTATGCTCACACTTAGCCTACTGTAATACAAAATAATTGTATTTAAGGGGCTTAAAAGCTTGTTGAAGGATGATAGAATTCTGGGAGGTTCCCCCAGCAGGAATTACGTTGACCCCAGAGGGAATCCTGAAGATTCCCATCAGTGTTTTTCCTCTGTCTATACTCCCTCTTACTAAATCTTATTTCATAATCACAAACCAAGCAGGTTTCATTTTGAAGATGACAAGGTACATCTCATTAAGTACAATTATATATAATTCAAAAAAATTACAAGGAGCTATAATCATTTCCTTGGCATGTCACTGAGACAACTTTAGTTCTAAATGATCCAGGTTTGTATGGTTTTTTTTTTTTTTCTTCATCTTGAATATGGTATTAGAATTGGGTAAACTTCTATTTCATCTAATTGAATTACACAACATCCTTCAGTTTAGTGAATAACAATAGGGATTACTTAGAAATTCTTCGCCCTAGGGAGCTAGATACATTATGTTCCTTATACTTTACTGTGTGTTGATCCTTTGGATGAGACCTTAAAATCTGAGGCCTGGTTTGCTCCAAGTGACCGGTAAAGAGTCTGTGCCTCTTTGGTTTTGCTATGCTGTCCCTTGGTAAAAATCGAGTGCAGTTCAGTGTTCTGTATACTGTTATCTTCACTCTGTAGGTGCTTTTCAGAGGTGCTGTATATACATAGTTTCTGAATCTCTTTGGGATCCTTCAAGCTGTAAGCTGCTGTTATTGTTAGTGATAATGGCTGAGATTCTATGTTGCACCTTAAGCAGAGAACTCACAGCCCTATGGAATAGAGGGTAGACAAAGGAGGCTTTAAGCCACCTTTCTGCCCTCCCTAATATGGGCTACTCTCAGAGCCAGTGCAGCCCCTGATGTAACTTATGCAGCCGGGGCACTTGCCTTAATTTATGGCAACCTCCATGGGCTGTTCTATCAAGGGTGGCATTGCCAAGCATGAAGCCCTCCTGCACCTGGCAGACTCCTGTGCCAGGGCCCGTGGAAGTGGCATTGCTCAGAAGGCAGCCTCGACCTGCCCATGCAATGCCTACATCGGGAATTGTCCCCTTGCTGGCTCCAGAGCTTTTATGGCTTTTGTACTCTGGCATGGCAGCCGGTTAAATCCCTTGCCTAGCTGCAAGGTTTTAGGTTCATTTTGTATTTTTTAGATGATGTCGCTACCATTCCAGTATTTCTTCTGAAGAAATCCACATTGAAGAGAAATTATTTGACCTTTGGACTGCTGGCAGAGGAAGTCTTACAGTGTTTAACATATTTCTACAATTTGAACACAATTAACCCTGCTCCTTCAAATCTTATAGCTTGTATGGTCTCCATCAAGTGTGGTAACATTTCTCATTTGACCCAGTTATGAAAAGTCTATGAATCAATTAATCATTTCAGTTAAAGTTTTAAATTACACCAAAAGAATCCCTATAGTGAACTGCTAATATTTAAGGAGTATTGTAGAGATTATAATTTACTTTACTTGTTTCTTTGGTCTTTCACTGAGCCAATTTTTAGTTTTAAGTATATCAATTTTTTAAACTCGAGTGCGTTATTGAACTCCTTATTTCTTGTAAACAAATTTCACAAATTCCTTTACTTCAATGAATTAAAACCACAATATACAAATAAACTTGATGATGCTACAAAGCTCTTTTGCACCTGTGGGGGTAGAGGACAGAAATATCAGAGTTCGCCAGGCCTAAAGCCAGCATCAAGAATCATTCTTATTGTTTGGTGCAGAGGTGGCCTGTGCTTGGTATAGTTTGTGTTATGGTGGAATCATCAGAAGTTCACTTAGATCCTCTGGTGTCTGTGTTTTTAATTTCAACAGCTTGTCCAGGTTGATTCCAGAGCTGTACAGCTTGGTTCTCTCTTCATTCGTGGGCTTACAACTTTGATTATGGCCAATAGTGCCTGTGGCTTTCCAATGAATATGGATGATTTGATGCCCTGGAAGGTGTTTGATGGAAAACTTTTTCAAGAGAAATATCAGCAGTCACACAGAGGGTGTTCTTTGGAGGAGCTTTTGGAGGGCAATGTGAGTATATACACATCCCTTTCAAAAGTCACACATTCTTACTTGAAAAACTGTACCCATCAATATTTTTTATTTTAAAATGGAGGTTTTCATTGGTCTCATTTCAACCTTTTCCCCTCCCCTCCCTTTCCCAGCTGACCTCCTCTGCCTATGGCCCGCATACAAGTAAAATTAATGTTGAGGCTATTGGAGAGGTTAGTTTTACTTTTATTATAGTTTTTTGCTGCTTCAAAAACAATAAGAAAATACAAAATTGGTCATCTGCTTAAAAAATGAGAATTACAAAATGTGTTGCAGTTTCTGATATTAAAGTGTTTCTGAGAACTTCTGCCATAAACATTTCAGAGGAATTCATAAAGGTTCCTTAATAAAGATATTAGAGAAATTATTTTACTGCTTTTTCAGTTTGCTTACTTAGTACATTTGACAGCATTTTGTGTATAGTCAGTTTAACTGTTTTTCCTTTGTAGCCAATTAGGCCCCAATCCTGGAACTGATTATGTGGGTGGACCCCTCCTGTCTTAAGCATGATCCCATACAGGCGTAGGGATTTTACCAAGCTGAGTCAGTTGCAGGAGTGGTATACACAGCCTTATCCAAATCGGCCATTGAAGTCAATGAGAATCTTTCTTTTTATTTCAATGGGTTTTGGATTAGGCTGATAGTTTCTCCTGTTGTTTGCGTGCACCTTTCCCACAGCAACAGGGGAGATTAAAGAAATACATTTATATTTTCCTATTTAATTTAAAACCACAGAAGATTGGCAGGTCACAGACAGGTGGTGGACTAACTAACATATCTACAGTAGGTTTTTTTTTTTTTTTAAAGACACCTTTTATTGTAGTCTAAACATTCCCTAGGCGAACAGTTCTGTTGTGGAAAAATAGTCAGTCTATACTCTTGAATATTTAGAGTAGTTTGAATATCTTTTTCTTTTTTTAGTTATGCTACAGATTTGGCAGAGAGAGCTCCCAGACTAATAAAATAGTTTTCCAACTTTTCAGTTTGAAAGGCAAGGATTCGGACGCATTCCCTAGAGATGCCAGTTTAGCTGTGGACATTGGCAACCCAACAAACTTATGTGATTGGTTGTTGCTGCTATTATAAAGTTAGCTTTATAGATACAATTAGTACTTATTTCCTGGCACAACTTGACGTAGTGCTGGGAGCCAAGATCTTTCAGTATTTATTTCTTAGCAGTCTTCCCATAAGCATCATAAATCTGATCTACTGAGAGCTACAGCATTGTATTCAGAAAATTACTCTATGGGTGATGTTCCGCTATTGAAAAGGTGAAAAAATTGCTCCTTTCTTCATAAGCACTTTCTGAGCTTCTTCTCCCAAAAATGCCTGGGGAGGATTTTAGCATTAATGGGATCTAACTATAGAAACTTGACAGAAAAATAAAGCTACAAATTGTGAACAAAATTGTATCGATAATCAGGTTTGTCAACGTAGAAACTTTGTTAGGAAAATTAACTGAAGCTTTGGGTGAGTTGAACTCCACCAGGAGCTAGTTAAACCTCTCTAGTTAGTCAGTGACCATCTTGTCAACCTTTCAACCTTATCAAGTAGCCATTTGGGTCTCCTCTTAGTTACTGAAGGAATTGTTGTCCCAATGAAAATCAGTTTGGGTTTGTGAGAATCAGCAGACTAGCTTGTAGGCAGAGAATCCCCACCCTTGCACTCTCTCCTAACCTCTACCACCATTCCAAAAATTAAAAAAAATGGGTAAGTTATTAGGACCTGATCATGTCAAGGTAATTAGTGTTTGAAAAATCCCATTTGAATCAGTGGAAGTTCAGGAAATGCAGCACCTTGCTATATTGGGACCTTAGTTAAATGACTTCTATTTGTCCTCTGGACAACTGGACTTTTCCATCAAAACAGGATTCCATAGGATCAAAACAAATCAAGTCTTTTGACTTATATTTCTCCTTTTATCTTTAGTCTAGGTTATATTCTATCAATCAACAAATATCTAAAATATGGCTGAAGTTATTCTGCTAAGTGAAGTGTTTCTTGGGGTATATGAAGTAAAATGCACAGACTTGATTCTCGCTGATTCAGTTTCCATCACTGTAATAAACACAGGCATCTATGCATCAGTCCTTATCAAGTTGCCTTAGCCATCGTTGCCTAAGGTAATGGTTAGGTAGGTCTAGTCAGGTCTGTCTGCAGAGGCAAGACAGTGTAATAGAAAGCAAGGGATGCAAAGCAATTTACAGAGATGAGTAGAGCAAGAAAAGCAAACTTTATTAAGAAAAGGGAGGAAACAAATACCTCCTTCCTCCCCCTCCCCCCAAGAATCCTCTTTCATTATGGAATATTTTTAGCTTTGGTTCGTGAAGAAGACAAACCAAAAGATACTATGAGGCAGGACTAGCCAAATTCTTTTGATTGCTGTTTAGGTGTTATAGTGGTGCTACTCTTGAAAAGAGAAAAAGAACCTACCACAGTCATTGATTTAAGCCCACTGTCTGCAGGGATCTTTGCACACGCAGTTCCAGAATCTGAAGTCATTCATTTGCAAGGCTTGCGTGGTAAAGAAAAGAACAATTCAGAGCAGACGGCGAGGGAATGGATTTATCACAGGTTGGCATCATGTTAATTTTACCAGTAACGCCACTATATTGATGATATCTATTACCTTTCAACAATTCCCCCAGGCAATTTGTCAATTAAGTAAATCCTGGGAGAACTTGCTGACACTAACTGAAGGAAGAATTTCAGTCAAAGCTTCCTGATTTTAGAAAATTTCATGATTTCCCAAACTTAGGTGAAATAATATTTCCATCCAGTTACACAGCTAATAAAATGTATGTATGCAGTAAATACAATAATGATTACTGTCAGAATAATGACTGTTCTTGTACTTACTGACTAAAGCTATTTTGGTTCTGTAGCAATTAGATGACTCAGGATTTCCCATTCTGCTTTCAGGAAGTGTTCTTCAGGATTAACAGCATTGAAGGGTTTTGAACACACATTTATATTTTTTCACAGCTCAGTCTGTGTGAATGCTGATGCTTCAAAATACTTTGTAATTATTCTCAATTTAAAGCTTGAGTCAGCATCAGTTCTAATGACAATTGATGCATTTTAAAATACTGTTACTGCACAATTACTTATCCTTTGTGCCTATTTGTTAATGAAATGCAGATAATAGAAATGGGCATGGTTCTCTTGATTTTATATGTTATCCACACAACAAGAGGAAAGATTTAATCAAGTCTCAGGCTTTTGATCATATTTATACACAAATGTAAGAAGAATCCTTTCTTTTCCTCCCCGCCCTTTGTTTTGTGTTGTTTATGTAAGTGGATGGAAGCTTCTTGATAACCTTGATAAGTGTATGGAGTCTTAAGATATATGTCATGTCCTCTGTACTGGGTGCTTTGGGTTTTTTATCTGTACATCTCTTTTTTCCATTGCCACATTGTTTGGCATTTGGGGGTACATGCTTTTCAAAGACCTGATACTGGATATGCAAAAAAGGATGCATGAAAATGGATTAAGGTGTCCCTATAAGATCCTCTCATCAATGGCGCATCAAACCACATTAGCATCTACCATGACTTGTGGATTCATGTTTAACTGTTTCCAATATGATTTAAAGGCTCCAATGTGGACAAAGATTTTTTTTAGACATAGCTGTGTTAACCAAAACTGTGCTATTGACTACCACCATAGTAGATTTTCAGCATGGTTTCTAAACACTCTTGTACGGCTTGTAACTATGATGAGTGTGGATAGAAATTGAGCTATGAGCACATGAACAGAACCGTAGTTAATTATGTCAACTGTGAGAGGGAGGGTGCTAACTAGTTTGGAGAAATTAAAATCACACATGAATATTGTGGCACTTCTCTTATAAAATGTTATTTCCAAAAAATGCAGAATATGATTTATCTTTTGTTCATAGAATTGTGTATATAATCAATATCAACTGATAAATATTGTTCCTTAGAAATGCAAGAAGGAGGAAGGGAATGTAGCTTCCAGCAAGCACACACAACTTCTTTTGTTCCACCGTATCATAGTCAGAACAGAGGATTCCAGTGGAGAGGCCCTCAACCTTACTTTTCTGGGTCTGAGGCCCAACCTTCAGGTAAAAAATCAATATAAAAATAAATAGAATTGGCACTGCCAAAGGTATATGACTGTGTCTGTGCCTAAACTTACATCATGTATTTGTACATTATGGTTATGATCCTGTACCCATAGTAATAAATGGCAAAACTCCGTTGCATCAATGAGATTTGTGTATTAGTATTAGCTGAAGCTAAACCTACAAGTTACATATAGAATTTCGTTATGACCCAGTGTTTTCACTCTTTGTAACTTTTGGAAAAATTCTTCTGTGGGCTGAAAATTCTCATGTTTGGTCTCAGTTGAATTGTTTTAGAAAGTTTTAGTAATTTTCAATTACCACAATAGCATAGAAGTGTCTAGCTAGTGCCTTTAGTTTCAGATCCTAACTCATACCACAATCAAGAAAAGCCCTTGAGCACATGCTTAATGTTAAGATTTAAAGGCAAGCTGTGCTCTTTCTTGGTAAGAGTTGACCATAAATCACTTACCAGCAACACCTGTTGGTTGAACACCAGAGGCATTTAAAAGACGCTAAGGTCAATGCCCCTGGTAGGAAACAGGTTGGGGTGACATTACAAAAAGGAGGGAAAATGTTGTCAGGGTCAGGAGAAATAATGTGATACCTATTATTAAACCCACAAATAAAATGACAGGTTTCAGAGTAGCAGCCGTGTTAGTTTGTATCCGCAAAAAGAACAGGAGTACTTGTGGCACCTTAGAGACTAACAAATTTATTTGAGCATAAGCTTTTGTGGGCTACAGCCCACTTCATCGGATGTAGCCCACGAAAGCTTATGCTCAAATAAATTTACAAATAAAATGGTTTGGCATGGCCTGTGTGGATGAGGCCAAAACATACGACCTTGCTGAGTAATTTGGTTATAAACAGAATCAAAACTGACCCTCTGTCTTAATGATTCTGTTCTAGGAAGCATGTAATTCAGGGTCCAGCCACACAGGGATCTTATTACAAAATGTATTCCATAATAACAGCACTGGGTCATGTAAAAACATGATGCAGTAGCGTTATTAAAACCCAGTTTGGCCTTTTCTACAGAGGTGAAACCAAACCATGTTATAACACTCTCAGGAGACTATTATAACATGATTCTCCAATGTGATCAAATTTCCTATGTATATGTAAAATATGTTTACTAGAGAAATGAGTGAGGGGTCCTGTGGAAAAAATAGTATGAGATTATGTAAATAAAGACTCAAAATGCATGTTCAAAAGTGGGGGGTGGGAGCAGAATTAAGGTTGCTTGTTTCCTAACTTTTCAGTTTCCAACTTGATAATGTTCTTTTTTAGCTGTGTGTGTGTGTGTGTGTGTGTGTAATGTCATAGTTTAAAAAAAAAACTGCAAACAACAAAAACTCCATCATGTGGCAACATATAGACACCCTCATGGGTCATCGGCAGAGTTGGAACCCTTAGTTCCACCACTCACACCTCTGCCTCTTGAGCTAATGGCATATCTGATAGGACGAATCATAGAATATCAGGGTTGGAAGGGACCTCAGGAGGTCATCTAGTCCAACCCCCTGCTCAAAGCAGGACCAATCCCCAACTAAATCATCCCAGCCAGGGCTTTGTCAAGCCTGACCTTAAAAACCTCTAAGGAAGGAGATTCCACCACCTCCCTAGGTAACACATTCCAGTGCTTCACCACCCTCCTAGTGAAAAAGTTTTTCCTAATATCCAACCTAAACCTCCCCCACTGCAACTTGAGACCATTACTCCTTTTTCTGTCATCTTGTACCACTGAGAACAGTCTAGATCCATCCTCCTTGGAATCCCCTTTCAGGTAGTTGAAAGCAGCTATCAAATCCCCCCTCATTCTTCTCTTCTGCAGACTAAATAATCCAAGTTCCCTCAGCCTCTCCTCATAAGTCATGTGCTCCAGCCCCCTAATCATTTTTGTTGCCCTCCGCTGGATTCTTTCCAATTTTTCCACATCCTTCTTGTAGTGAGGGGCCCAAAACTGGACACAGTACTCCAGATGAGGCCTCACCAATGCTGAATAGAAGGGAATGATCACGTCCCTCGATCTGCTGGCAATGCTCCTACTTATATAGCCCAAAATGCCATTAGCTTTCTTGGCAACCCTTGGGGCACTTTGCTTGATACCGGCTGCCAACTAGACATCAAGCTATTGAACACTACCCATTGAGCCCGACAATCTAGCCAGCTTTCTGTCCACCTTAGAGTCCATTCATCCAATCCATACTTTTTTAACTTCTTGGCAAGAATACTGTGGGAGACCGTATCAAAAGCTTTGCTAAAGTCAAGGTATATCACGTCCACTGCTTTCCCCATATCCACAGAGCCAGTTTTCTCATCATAGAAGGCAATTAGGTTACTCAGGCATGATTTGTCCTTGGTGAATCCATGCTGACTGTTTCTGATCACTTTCCTCTCCTCTAAGTGCCTCAGTATTGATTCCTTGAGGACCTGCTCCATGATTTTTCCAGGGACTGAGGTGAGGCTGACTGGTCTGCAGTTCCCCGGATCCTCCTCCTTCCCTTTTTTAAAGAGCAGGTTGTCATCCTCTGTGTGGAACAGCACTAGGGGGATGAGATATACATTTTGCCAGTGGGTTTCGCAGATATTTGCTGACAGCAGAGAAATGGTGAGACTCAAGATTGCTGGGTGCCATTCCAGGCTCTGGAGGGAGGGGAGATTGCTCCTGTTCCTCCCCATCCAGGCTTCTTGTCCCATTCTCCTTACCTACCCAGTCCCAGTCCTCGGGCTTCTTTTCCCTATCTTTTTGCCTAGCCAGTTCTAGTCTTCCTCTCCAAACTCACTGTCTGAGTCCGAATCTCCCTCTCACTTCCAGTCTTTCCTCCTCCCCACACCCAGTCCTAGTCTCCTTGCCCAATCAATCCCAGTCTCCCTTCCCCTGATATTCCTAGCCTTTCCTCACAGCCTTCTAGCTAAGACAATCACAGTTCTCACCCTTTCATGCCCCCCAAATCCCAGGCTCACCAGACTCCTTATCTCAATCTACTCCTGTCCATCCCTCCGTCTGACTTTTGTCTACTTGGAGTTTGAATAATCATCTGCATTCCCTCTCCACGCTGTCTGGGTGGCAACAGGAGAGACAGACTCCCTACTCTCAGTCTAGTGCCCCACTCCTGGCCCAAGGCAGCTATTACAGGGAAAGTCGAGCTTTGCCCCTGCAGTCCTAGGCTGGAGGAAGCATGCTCAGTTGCTCTGTGGGGATGGCGCATGCACAGTTTGGTCAGCCTTAATTCAGCTCCCTTGTGTGTATGTATTATAGTACAGTCTTTAATTACATAATCACATTAGAGATGGAGGAAGTAGCTTTTTCCATACAGCCCTTGTGCATGGAACACCCATTTTTAGCTAATACACTATTATTGTCTCTTCATTCAAATGCTCCTGAAGACCCATTTCTGCCTACAATAAGTCAATAAAGTTATTAAGCATAGCATAGAAGTGCCTCATAGTCTTTAATCTCAACACACCCCTGTATTATCCCACCTGTAAAATGAACTAAGGCACAGAGAGACTAAGTGGCTTGTCCAAGGTCACACAGGGAGTCTGTAATGGAGCATGGATTTGAACCCAGGTCTTCCAAAGGCACAGGCTAGCACCCAAACCACAGCACCATCTTTCCTCTATATAATACCTATTGAATCCATTCAGTCTCTCTTCCTACACGTAGGGGTTTTCCCTGCAGTACCTGTTCTATTGCAGGGGTCGGCAACCTTCCAGAAGTGGTGTGCCAAGTCTTCATTTATTCACTCTAATTTAAGATTTCGCGTGCCAGTAATACATTTTAACCTTTTTAGAAGGTCTCTTTCTATAAGTCTATAATATATAACTGAACTACTGTTGTATGTAAAGTAAATAAGGTTTTTAAAATGTTTAAGAAGCTTCATTTAAACTTAAATTAAAATGCAGAGCCCCCCGGACCGGTGGCCTGGACCCGGGCAGTGTGAGTGCCACTGAAAATCAGCTCGTGTGCTGCCTTCGGCACGCGTGCCATAGGTTGCCTACCCCTGTTCTATTGTATTGTCCAGTCTAGTTTAGTTTTAGATCCCATATTTGCAGATTTGTGTTGGCCATACAGTTATACAATAAGTATAATTCAGGTGCTAAAATTGCAGCTCACAGGATACGTCTACACATCAATTAAACATCCGCAGCTGGCCTGTGCCAGCTGACTCAGGCTCACGGGGCTCGGTCTCCAGAGATGTTTAATTGCTGTGTAGACTTCTGTGCCTGCGCTGGAGCCTGAGCTCTGGAACCCTCCCACCTCAAAGGGTCCTAGAGCCTGGGCTCCAGTCCGAGCCCAAAGGCTACACAGCAATGAAACAGCCCCGCAGCCTGAGCCCCATGAGCCATAGGTACCGACTTCTGCTGGCGTTGGTGGGTGCTTGACCCCCCTCTGTCCCCGGTGTCGCCCCGACTCCACCCCTGCCCCGCCCCCATTCCAACCCCTTCCCCAAAGTCCCCGCCCCAACTCTGCCACCTCCTTGCCCCTATTCCAACCCCTTCCCCAAATCCCCACCCCAGCCCCGCCACCTCCCATGAGCGCGCCACGTTCCCGCTCTTCCCCCCTCCCTCCCAGAGCTTGTTACGCCACGAAACAGCTGTTTTGCAGCGGCAAGCACTGGGAGGTAGGCGGGGATGTGGTGCACTCAGGGGAGGAGGCAGAGGCGGGGAGGGGAGCTTGGCTGCCGGTGAGTGCAGAGCACCCACTAATTTTTCCCCGTGGGTGCTCCAGCCCCAGAGCACCCACGGAGTCGGCACCTATGTCACAAGCCCGAGTCAGCGGGCACGGGCCAGCAGCTGGTGTCTAATTGCTGTGTAGACATACCCATAGAGTCCTGAACTGAAGGTAGCTAACTGCCCTCCTCTTTAATTTAGAGATGTAGCTAATGGAGACTATGGGTCCCAGCAAGCAATGCACCATCCTGATCTCAGGGCAATCATTCAGTTTAAGAGAGAATGTTGCATGATGGTAGTAATAGTCTCAGTGGATCACACCTCCATACTAAAGTCAGCCACAGGCTACTCTGTTTTTCACATATTTGGTGTGAGCTGCAGGCTCCCAAGGTGTACACAGAGCAGTATTTAGTTGAACAAATCTTGGGCACCCTAGATATGATCTCCATCTACTCTCGGTTGGGAATTGTGCTACCTGTATTGTTTTGTTGTTGTTGAGTTTACTGTTTAAAAACACACAGTTTAAAACTGAAGCTGTTGCTAAATTTGCTTTAAAGATAGGTTGACCCCATTCAACTAAGTTAGCCTAAACCAGTTTTAAACTATGTATAAAACCAGTTTAGGTACCAGAGTTTCTAGCTTCATGTAGACAGAGCCACATGGCATATTTCCAAACAAAACTTCATTAATTGTTAACATTGCAAATGTGATTCAAAACAGGACACACTGTACCTTTCCACACATCACTAAAAATAAACAAAACACCGAGAACTATAGAAATCACAAGTGAAGGATACATGAACAATTCTGTCACTAACCTCAGTACTCTTACTAATAAACAGAAAAATTCTCATTGATCAGCATGCAAACCACTACTCAAACAACCTTAATTCTATCCCTGTGCAAAACACAATTAACAAAATCTAAATCAAACTTATCTGTCCATTACTCAACTCTTTCGTAACAGCATATACAATCTTCAGTAGCTTCCTTTTATTCATACAAGGGTTATACACAGTCTGACCTTTTATGCATTCACTACAGTTTTCTGTCTTATTTGTGTCTGGCCCTGACTATACAATTTTATTATGTATAGTGACTCTTGCACTGGTATTGGGAAGCTTGTCTAAAGAAATAGAAAAGACCATTGCCTCAGTGAGCCAAAGATATGGGAAAGGGAATTGAGAGTAGAGCTGGGCAACATTTTTCACCTCAATAGTTTATTCACTGAAAAATGCAGTTTCAGGTCAACCAAAGGAATTCTTTGCAAATTTGTGTCAAGTTCGTCAAATAGTTTTGACCTAACCAAAAACAGCAAAACTTTTTGTTAATGTTGAAAAATTTTGCTATGACTGTCAGACGTTTTGACAAAAGCAAGCCAAGGATCACAAAATGAGGAAGGGCCGACTTCCCTCATAAGCTTTAGCCCAGTGGTTATTAACCAGCATTCACCTGGGATGTGGGAGACCCAGGTACAGTTCCCCCCTTTGCCTGCTGTGGAGAAGGAATTTGAACTTGGGTCTTTCCTCATTGTAGGAGAATGTGCTAGCCACTGGGCTATGGGATATTCTGGCATGGACCTTTCTCATTCTCTTGAAGCTGTTCCACTTTTATAAATAATTAAGTAGTCTTTGGAGCAGGGACTTGAACTTGGGTCTGATTGAATTGCCACTATGAACGGCAGTGGATCGTCATTGGGCCAGGGAAAGAGAGTGAGAATGAGTCTATAGCCTGGTAGTTAAGACACTCACCTGTGCAAACTCAACAAATCACATTCCAGAACATGCAACAGCTGTACTGCAGGTCCTTAGTTTATAGCATGATTTTGTAAAATGTTTTATGACATAGTTAAATCTTGTTAACACTAGCCAAGGCCACCACCATGGTAATGTCTTGCTCACAAGAATTGTTTAAACATTTTTCTGGCTAACACAGTTTGAACTGTAGTGACAACGAGATCTGATTGTACTTCATTACTGAAGTAAGGGCTGGTCTTCACACAGTTTTTATACTGTTTTGCCTACAGAAGCCTATATAGTTTAAGTAGTACAATCCCCTACAGTGGGTGCAGTTGTACTGATATAAAGGTGCTTATTATGTCAGTATTACTCACATTTAGGAGAAAATTGAGATGTAGATTAAAGGAATACAAAAACTGTAGATAAATCCTAAGTATCACATTGTCCTTTCCTTAACTGGTACAACCTAGTCTGCGGACCATACTGTATGTCCATCTACAGTTCCAAGTAATTGGCTGTATTAGTATTTAAAAGTGAAGATTTATGCAGATAGCTGGCATAGTGTCTTTAAGAAGAGCAAGTCCACCATTAACTTTAGCCACCTAAATTTAAAAAATGTTAGCCTTCATTGAATACCAACTGAATTATTTTGAAATAGATGTAGAATAAGAAATAGTGAGGGGTTGTGGCAGCAACAGAGGGGAAAATGTTCTTTTTTCAAAATACACCTCAGTGGGTTGTTTCTTAAATACTATCATCAGTAAGTTATTTTCCTGCTTGAATGTTAAGAGGAAAATATTTTATTTCCCCTTCCACACTCCAGGTAGAGGACATCGAGACCAGAGGAGACATCGAGGCCAGAGGAGAAGGTTCCAGCTTGCTCCCCGGTAAATAATAGAACTACAATGATTGCAGAAGGTCTACAATGAGTTTGAATGAGAGGATAATATTCCTCCCACAGATAGCATCTTTACCTACAAAAGCCAGGATTCAAGGGGCTTTACAGAGTGGCTGAGCAGCTGCAGCTTCCAATGATTTCACCCAAGCTGTGGGTGCTCAGCCCATTATGTCCTTTCCACACTAAGATTGAGCTAACTTTATTTGGAGAATGGTTTCACTAACTACTGTAAAATCAGTGTTGGGGGACCTGGTTACTGCTTGGCACTATCCAATTATGGTTAAAAAAACACACAATCCCATTTACACAGGAAAGTCCAAATCAAGTTTTAACAGTGCTAGAGCACTCATATAATGTAAGTAGATCTTCCCAATATAGTTTTACATTGCAGACGAGAACGTAGTGTGCCCATTAAGAACAGTGTACAGTACACATGCTGTGTCAGTTCTTGAATTAGGAGGCTACTGTTGGTTATGCCATACTTTTCTTACTGTAGCCTGCTGAAAAAGTTGGAACATGACATCACTTTTTTTAAACTTCACTTACCAGTGAAACACTGGTACTTACTTCCCTGCTGGAATGCATTGCTGACTTATAAGTGCCAACAGCACTTCATTGCCGCTTAGGAGGACAACAACTCTGCACATTCAGGCTATTTCTAAATCTTATCATGTCTGCTTCCTAAGTATTTCTGAGATCATCCTTTTCTTTCTGTCTAGACAACTAAAACTCTCATCCAGGCCCTTATTAACTTCAGAATTAGAGTTCTTCGAGTGATGGTACCTCTATTGTATTCCACTGTAGGGTTACACACATGCACCATGTGCCCAGAGCCGGAGAATTTGAAAGTAGTGTCTGTTGGTCTGGGCTTGCGCCCTGGTTCACCTCTTGCCTCCATCCGAGGGGATAGAGAGTAGGGTGGACCAACCATCTCTCCATTTCCTTCTCACAACCACATGGTCCCGGTCAGAACCTCCAGTGTCCGTAGCTTTGGCTTCGTCCTCCATAATAAGAAGTAGATTTAGCTTTGTAAATAGTTTTAACGGGTTTTTATAGTTTAGCGTTTTATAGATCTCTTAGTGTTTAGATGTAGTCTCTTTAGGATACAAGGGGGTGGGGAGGTTTCCCTATTCGGGTATTGGACCATGCCCAGGAATCCAGACTTCAAATCCTGCGCTTCCTGCCTGTGATCCTTCTCGGTGAGTAATGACCACCAGCGCGGCCTCTACTGCCTTGGGGAAACCCACATTGCAGCAAGGTGCAGTATCTGCCTATCGTTCCCCAGCCATACCCGAGAAGGACGGAACTTCGTCTCTGCAAATGCAGATATATTTCATTTTATTTTACAGCACAGTTTCAGTGATGGAAATGTAAGCCATGCATGCTCAGTGTGGCACTCTGTCCCCCTTGGGTGGTGGCCCTGCGCAACTACATGCAGGGCGCCAAATCATCACATTAGACAGCACCAAATCCCCATTTTTTGTTTTTTGCTTGACAAGTTTGTTTGTTGTTTTTGTTTTGATTTTTGCTTGTGTCTTTGGGGCAGGGAGGGAGGACCAAAAGCATTTTCCATCCTAGGTGACAAAACACATAGGACTGGCTCTGGCTAAGACAGCTGAGGTTTTTTTAGACCAGGCAGTAGAGGCTGATGCATGAAGATCCAGAGGCCCACCCAAGGACATCAGTGTTACGTAAATATTTCTTTTAACAACCAAATGAATTAATTTTGGATAGAACAATTACAGTCATTACTAAATAAATATATAATGGCGGAGCACATAACAGTGTTACCAACACCATAAGGTTGTATACTGGTTAACTGATATTGCAAGTACTATCCTGAAGCTTTTTTTTTTTTTTAATTTCTGGAAGAAAATGTTTGTTTTGGAATTCACATAAACATATTTTCTTAAATTTTCCACTTGCCTACCCAGTCAGTGTAAAACAGTCGGGGGTACTTTACTTAATTGCTGCATTCAGGGAAAAACATTAGGTAGTAACCATAAAAATTCTTCATTAAAAAATGAAGCATACAAATTGTATCCAGAAGCAAAAATGCCTTAAGTGTCAACAACACTGTGGTCATATAGAAAATGGGTGAAGAGTTAAAAACTGGTTATCTCATTGATGGTCTGTAGCCCAATAACTTATCTGAAAATTGTCTTCATCCATGTCATCTTCAACTGCTTGATATTTTCCTTAGCTTTCTCATAATCTTTGGATTAAATTGGCTCAAGAGGATGTTTATTAAACTAACTGATAATCATTCTTTTCCATTTATATATTTTGGAGCCACTCTGTCTTTATTTTTGTATTGGAACATTTTCAGTACACTAAGATGTATAGTAATCTCCCTTTGCGTTAATGAAGAGGCTGTTGCAGTTACTTGGATATTCCTTGATGATCCATATCACAAATTTTGTTGAGAAGTTTTCCATCCATCAAGCAAAGGAGTTCCCTTCCTATGTTTTAGGTCTTATAAGAATTAATAATTTAGTCACTGACCATATTAAACACAGCAGTCCTTGACCTGACTCTTGATAAACAGCCATTGATTTGGAGACCAAGAATGCATAGCTCAAGGTTCTGTCCTGTTTTCAATCCCTATCTAGCATTGAAATAAGAACAATATTTTTTCCAAATTGTTTATCACTGGTATCTTCCCAAATTCTATGAAGCAGCATGAAAATATCTTGCTTACAGTTCTGACAGTTTTGTATTTTTGTCATATGTATATTTAGCTACTGCCACAGCTTCCATGTATTATTTTAGGCCCCAATCCAGAAGTAGACTTTGCAGGCTCAGACTTCCACTGAAGTCAGTGGGATACCCCATGGGCAGACCTTTGCACCTGCACAGAGTCAATTGCAAGACCAGGGTCTTAATGTTAATCATTTATATGGAAAGCTCTGGACCCAGATTATTTTCTCTTTAATTTCTGTTAGCTTTTTACGTATCTTGTTCTTATCTCCTTTGATGCCAGTATTTTCTTACTATCATCATCAACACTGCTTTTACTAGCAAAGCCACTGCATCTAATATGTGTTTCTTCTTTTAAGTATAGTTTTGCAGATAGTTTTTATATCCAGGATCTGTTTTGCAGATGATGATAAAAATAAATGTTTAGTTAACCTAAGCTCCCAAAGCAGGGACCAGATTCTATAGTATTTATTCTGGCGCTGAAGCCAAGAGAAGTTTTGCCTGGGTAAGGATTGGATGACAGATAGTTAACTGGATTAATGATGCATAGATTTTTAAGGCCAGAAGTGACCATTATGATCATTTAGTCTAACCCCTTCATAACATAGACCATAAAATTTCATTCTGCATTAAAAGCATAATTTCTGGCTGAGATAGGGCATTTTATTTTATTTTTAAAAATGATGTCCAGTCTTGATTTAAAGACTTCAAGAGATGAAGAATTCACCATGTTCCTAGGTAAATTGCTCTACTGATTAATTATCCTCATTGTTGAAAATGTGTGCTCTTTTCCCAGTCTGAATTTGTCTAGTTTCAGCTAGAACTTGTTAAACCTTTTTCTGCTAGAATAAAGAGCCCCCTACTATCAGTAATATCTCCATGTATTTACTTATAAACTGTGATCAAGTTACCTCTTCATCTTTTTGCTAAGCTAAATAAAGCTAACGATCCTGTTGATACTCTTAATATCATCAGACCTTTATTCATCTAATCCCTGAGGAAATACAGTTTCTCCTTTAAGCAGTAATGGTATAGCCATAGAATCATGGAAATGTAGGTCTGGAAGGAACCTCAAGAGGTCATCTAGTCAATCCTCCTGAAGCTGAGGCAGGATCAAGTATACCTAGACCATCCCTGACAGGTGTTTGTCTAACCTGTTCTTAAAAACCTCCAATGATGGGGATTTCACAGCCTGCCTCGGTAAACTATTCCAGTATTTAACTATCCTTATCATTAGAAAGGTTTTCGTAATAGCTAACCTAAATCTCCCTTGCTGTAGATTAAGCCCATTACTTCTTGTTTTACCTTCAGTGAAGTGGAGAACAATTGATCACCATCCTCTTTATAACAGCCCTTAACATATTTGAAGACTGTTATCAGGTCCCTGCTCTGTCGTCTTTTCTCAAGATTAAACATACCCAGTTTTTTTATGCCTCATAGCTCAGGTTTTCTAAATCTTTTATCATTTTGTTGCTCTCCTCTGGACATATTTCCTAAAGTGCAGCACCTGAAACTGGACAAAGAACTCCAGCTGAGGCCTCCCCAGTACCGAGGGGAGGAGAATTACCTCCTCTGTCTTACATGCAACACTCCTGTTAATGCATTCCAGAATGATACTAACCTTTTCCACAACCGCATCACATTGCTGTCTCCTGTTCAATTTATGCTCCACTATGCCCCCTAGAGCCTGTTCAGCAGTACTACCACCTAGTCAGTTATTCCCTGTTTTGTATTTGTTCATTTGATTTTTTTCTTCCAGAGTGTAGTACTTTGCACTTGTCTTTATTGAATGTCGTCTTGTTGATTTCAGACCAATTCTCCAATTTATTAAGGTTGATTTCAATTCTAATCCTGTCCTTCAAAGTGCTAGCAACCCCTCCTTGCTTGGTGTCATCCACAGATTTTAGAAGCATAATCTCCACTCCATTATCCATGTTATTTTTAATGAAAGTATTGAATAGTACCAAACACAGGACAAATGCCTGTGGATCCCACTAGATACATCATCCCAGTTTGACAGCGAACCATTGATAGTTACTCTTTGAATTTTCCAAACAGTTGTGCGCTCACTATATAGTAATTTCATCTAGACCACATTTCCGTAGTTGAGAACATCATGTGGCACTGTGTTAGAAGCCTTACTAAATTCAAGATAAATCACGTCTACTGCTCCCCTGCGTCCACTAGGCCAGTAACTCTGGCAAAGAAGGAAATTAAGGTGATTTGGCATGATTTCCTCTTGACAAATCCATGTTGGCTGTTGCTTTTCACCCTATTATTCTCTAGGTGCTTACAAATTAATTGATTGATAATTTGTCCTGGTATCATCCCAGGTATGGAAGTTAGTCTTACGCCTTGTCTGCACTTAATATTTGGATTGAGATACCTACGGCATCAGGAGATGTGAAAAATCCATACCCCTGAGCACTGAAGCTGTGCTGACCTAACTCGCAGTGTAAATGCAGCAAGGTCAATGGAAGAATGGTTCCGTTGACCTTGCTACTATCACTTGGGGAGGTGGCTTTACCTACCGTGACAGAAAACCCCCTTCTATTGCTGTAGGCTCCCTCTACCCTACAGGATTATGCTGGCCTAGCTATGCCCTATAGTCCCCATAGTGTAGACATGGCCGGACTAGTCTATTATTCCCTAGCATCTCTTTGTTCCCCTTTTTAAAGATAGCTACTATGTTTGCCCTTCTCCAGTCCTCTGGGACCTCATCCTTCCTCCATGAGATCTTGAAGATAATTGGTTCTGAGATTGCTTCAGCTAGTTCCTTAAATTTCCTCGTGTTAATTTGGTCAGACCTTGATGATTTGAATACAACTAACTTATTAAAATATTCTCTAACGTGTTCTTTCCCTGTTCTGGCTTGTGTTCCTTCCCCTTTGTTGTTGTTAACTGTGTTAGGTGTCTGGTCACAATTAACCTTTTTAGTAAACACTGAAGCAAAATAGCCATTAATCACCTCAACCTCCTTGGATTTGTCTGTTATTAGCTCTCCTTCCACTAAATAGTGGTTCTTCACTTTCCTTTGTCTTTTTTGCTCCTTATGTATTTATAGAACCTCTTCATATTGCCTTTTATGTCCCTTGCCAGGTGTAACTCATTTTGTACCTTAGCCTTTCTGTTCTTTTGTCATCATCTTTAGCAATTTGTCCATGTCTTCAATTTTTATAGGATTCCTTTTTCATTTTCAGGTCATTAAAGAGCTCCTGATAGAGCTATATTGGCCTCTTCTTCCCATCTTTCCTTTGCTTTGGGGTAGTTTGCTGTTGTGCCTTTAATAATGTCTCTTGAGAAGCTGCCTGAACTCCTTTTCCCCTTAGATTTTCTTCCCATGGGACCTTACCTACCAGTTCTCTGAATTTGTTAAAGACTGTTTTTTTTAAGTTCATTGTACTTATTCTACTGCTCTCATTCCTTCATTTCTTTAGAATAATATCTATTGTTTTATGACCACTTTCAGCCAAATGGCCTTCAACTATCAGATTCTCAACCAATTCCTCTGTTAGTCAGAATCAACTCTAAAATGGCTGCCCCCCAGTTACTTCCTCCTTCTTCTAAAATATGACGTTGTCCTCAGCACATGCCAAGAAATTTGTGTATTGCTGTATGTTTTCCAACAGAACTCTGGTTAGTCAAAATCCTCCATTACAACCAGGTCTTGTGTTTTGGATATTTCTGTTACTTGTTCTAGAAATGTCTCGGCCACCTCCTCCTGATTTGATGGTCTATGGTAGACACCCACCCCCCCACCGGGACATCACCCCTGTTTTTTCCCCCTTTTATCTTGACCCAGAGACTTTCAACTGGTCTGTTTTAAAGCAAAAGAAATGATAATATCCAGCAAGTACGATAACAATGAGAGCAACATTTTCCTATGGATGTTTGAAAAATCTTTGGGAAGTTATAGAACATCCTGAATCCTTTGTTGTTGTTGTTGTTGTTAATAATAATATTTATATTTTAAGTCCCGTAGACTGTCACTAAAATCCAGGCAATAATTCCATAAAACTGATTACCTAACATGACTTTTACATTAGTCATATAATGCTTGTTGGTATTGGAGAGACTTATGCTTCTCTTTTCCTTTCTCCAAATATACTATAGTTTATTTAGAACAGTTTGAGAGAATCAAGGTAATTGCTAATCAGCCATTAGATGCTTTTCTGATTACATGTGGCCTAGTCATCTTCTTTTATGAAAACCTCTCTATATAATGTCATCATTGAAGGATGAGTAAAAATATTAAACTCATAGTCAGACTAATGATTATACCATAGATGTCAGTAAAAACTGTCACAAGGAATCTTACATTAATCCACTCTAGTCTGTAAATACTGTAGATTGTATTTTAAGGAAACGGCCCAGCTGTGTGCTAAAGGCCGCCCAGTCCCCACCCAGAGCTCTGCTCCAGGCCCAACTCTGTGGAGGGGTCTCTGGGTGGGAGGTGTTGGGTATAGGGGTCTGTGGGGGGGAGGAGAGGGTTAGAGGGGAACGTGCTGTGGTTTTCAACCTGCGGCCCAGGTAACACAGTTGAGAACCACTGCACTAGTGGGATTTCTAAATCCTATCTGCTTCTTTAAGCACCTAAGTACCTTTGAAATTCTGGGTCCAAAACCCTTTTGAAAAAGAGACTAAGGGCTTGTCTACATTTAAAACGCTACAATGGTGCAGCTAGCTGTGCCACTGTAGCGCTACAGTGTAGATACTACCTTTGCCAATGGGAGGGATTCTCCCATTGACAGAGAGGTGATAGGTAGGTCGGTGAAAGAAGTCAACCTAGCACTGTCTACACCGGGATTTAGGTCGGCTTAACAACACCACTCAGTGGGGTGGATTTTTCATACCCCTGACGGACTTAGTTAAACCAGCCTAATTTTCTTCTATAGACCAGGCCTTAAGCTCCTAAGCATTTTTGAAAAATTTACCCTAAATACTCTTTGGAATTTTAAACACACTTTTATTCATTTTGTATGGCCACAGGAGCAGTTCGTTTGCTATGTCTTTTCACAGGGATTTTTATTATTTGAAATTGTTTACATGTTGATACTTGTGTCTTGCTTAGTCCATCACAGGCTGTTTGTATTTTAGATGGCCCAGATGACTTTGTCCTTGACTGGAACTGAATGAAAAGTGATAAGAAGACAAGATATGTTTTTATAAAATACTATACATTGAATATAATAAAAATCATTTCAGTATTGCTATTGTACCATCAAAAAAAGATGTCAAATTGAATACACATTTTAAAATTGGTGGTAGGAAGGATTTAATTACAAACACATTACCCTGACTTCACTCAGTATTTCCAATCCCATTTAATTTTGTACCTCTGATACTTCTTTTTTCATTACTAATTTAATGTTTATAAGAGTATGTGTTTGTGTTCTGAGGAAAATTTTGAATTATTTAATTCCCAGTACCACAGTGATGGGCACTTTACAAAAGCCTAAGGTAGACAGTTATGAAGTCTAATAGTAAAGGAAATGTGTACAGAAACAGAGGCCACCTTTATGTGGTGAAGGAGCTAGAGGAAATCTAAAGTAGTAAAGATGTGAGTGAGCTTAAGAGTATGTCTACACTGCGATTAGACACCTGCGGCTGGCCTGTGCCAGCTGACTCGGGCTTGGGCTAAGGGTTGTTTAACTGTGTTGTAGACATGTGGACACAGGCTGCAGCCCAAGCTCTGAGGCCCTCCCACCTTACAGGCTCAAGCCCAAGCCCGAACGTCTACACTGCTATTAAACAGCCCTTAGCCCGAGCCTCGCAAGCCCACATCAACTGGCATGGGCCAGCTGTGGGCTTTTAATTGCAGCGTAGACATACCCTAAGAAGTCATCCCAACCAAGTGCGGATAAACCTTTATGCCACATATACACACATTCTATGTATGCCACATCTTTTACAGAAAAAGTATTTTAGAAGTATTTAAGATAGCTTTAAATACAAAAAATGTGTTTTTTTAAAGTATCTATCTGCCTGTAAAGTCAGGTGGCTCAAAGGAAGAGGAAAATTATAGCTAATACATTTTAGAAATCTTTAAAAATACCTTTAAGCTCACTCATGTCTTTTCTAGACACAAAACTGTTCACAGCTTTAAAGTCTCCATTCTTAGATCTTCCAGAGCAAAAATGAATGCTGTGTCTCTATTGGGAAACCTAGTATTTCCCTTTTCAGTTGTGTAATGGTCCCATTTCTAGCCCTTTGCAGTATTATACATCAAACCTTAAACCAGTCATTGACCGAGAAGAAAATATTGCTCATCCTGGGCCTGGGGCCTCTGTAGTTTTGGAGGACATTCCAAATGAGGGGGAAGGGGACAAAACAAATATTTCTCATATAAATTCATTTTTTGTCAGCTATTTGAAGCACAACAGTTGAAATGATTTTACCACATGTGTGTGGAATGCTCAAAATGGTCCAACCAGATATAGATTAGTGGACAGTGCACAGGTGTGGCAACCAATCATGTACCATAAATTAATTTCTCACAGGCCTACAATTTGTCATATGGATTTCCCTGTTACATAAAGGATAGTGCATATAGAATGTGTGGGCGTATATTGTAGATTAAATCTATGTGTACAAATATTTGACATGAAGAAAAACATACTTTCTTCTTGTATCTCAAAGAATAGGTTTATTTCTAATGTTAAGGATTATTAACAAATGAATTCCATAGCCACTGTAGAAGTTTGATTTTGATTACAGATTAGTAGTTGCTAGTTTTTAGTTAATTCTAGTACTAGTTAGCTCTGTTGCTGTCATGCCTTAGGTCTTGTGCAGATGTCTACTTTTGAGCCAACTATCCATCGAGTTTTTCCCATCTAATCTCTGAATTCTCTAAACATAAACATGCTGTCATTTGTACATAATGTGGTACTATGATTTTCTCATATGTATTTTATTGTCTGAAATACAATAAATGTACTGTGACATAAATACAACGCAGCTAAATAAATAATTGACAATAGCCCAGCATTTTTAATTCTATAAAAAAAAACTGATGCTGATTTCACTTTGTTTAAATATGACACTATTTTTGTCCAATTTGCTTCCTGAGGATGATATGATTATGGGTGGGGCAGTCCTGCCATATTTTCCTACCAGCTATTCACTTTATTTTTAAATGTACTACCTGCTATTTATTCAAACCTTTTGGGAGAATGTAGAAATGTGGGCATATTCAAAGATCACTAGTTTCAGGAACCTCATTATATGCAATGGTGCTTTAAAAAAAATCTAATGGTGTGTCAGTATTTTGTAGCTATTCTTACATCAGGATCTTCCAGGACTTCTAGTGGCCTCAAGAGATGAAGTGGTAGTAAACTAAAATTAAACATGAATTTAGTGGGAGCTTTTGCTGTGCTAAGATTGGGCACTTTTTAAGAATTGCCAATGAGATGTAAAGGCACTCTCTGTTGACATTTTTCTTCTTATGCTGGACCATAGCCAGAAGCTGCTAATTATCCAGACTTCTAAGCAAAAGTTTTTTTTTCTCCTTAGTAATCATGGGTTTGGATCAGGAGTTCCATGCAGGTGCTGTGCTCCTGTCCAAAGAGGATTAGCTTGTGTTAGAGTGCTTTGTTTCTGCCCTCCTAGCCAAGGCTAGTCATAGGTATGTGAGGCCTGTGGACAAGAAAAGGTAATCACAGAAGAGAAAAATGGCCTTCCTGAAGATGCACATTTGACTGGCCCCCTCAATGCCTGGACGACAGATTTTGTAACCTGACAGTGTTGCCCACCTGGGATGCCTTGAGCCTTGGGAGGAAGAAGGAGCTGTACCACAGGTGAAAGACATAGAATTGTAGGAATGTAGGACGGGAAGGGACCTCAGTAGGTCATCTAATCCAGTCGCCTGCACTGATGCAAGACTAAGTATTATCTATTCTAGACCATCCCTGACACAGCAGTTTGGAACTGGAATTGAAGAGGTGTAATTCTGGAGGAGAAAAATACAAGGAAAAACATTCTTATTTCACAAACTGTTAAATTGCTAATTATTTGAACAAGTCTAAAATATGCAGCTGTATTTTAAGAAATAAACAAATCATTCACTGATATTGTTTGCTTATATGTCTGCTGTCCTTTTAATGGCAAATGGGAGAAGAATATACCACTGATCATCAGTGACTGAGTCAGCTTGTACCAGTGTAGTCTTTAATAGAGAGGAGGTCTTGTCATTGATAGTGACAGACAGACAGACTGGCATGAATTCATTGGCCATCGCTCACTTTACCTAGGTGATTTCTATTTTATTACATTACTTGGAATCTGAGTGTTGTAAAACATTGAGTTTAGCCCTCACCCCACCATTGTCCGATAGGTGTGCATTATTCCCATTTTACAAATTGTGAAACTCCCACTCAGAGATATGAAGCACCTACGGTCACACTGGAGAAGAGCTAAGAATAGACCCAGATCTGATTCCCAGTCATGCAATTCAGCACCAAGTTCATCTTAACTTGAAGTTGCTCAACTTCAGCCCCAGGCAAGGGGCCTGTAACCTGAGCCCTGGCAACCAGGTCAGAAGCCCTTGGGCTTTGGCCCCGGGCAGTGGGGCTCGGGCTTTGGCTTTGGCCCCAGGTGCCAGCAAGTCTAACGCCAGCCCTGGCAACATGTTATTGAGAAGGGTCCATTTTTTTAATTAATTTTTCATCTTGACTTCAAGCAGTTTAAGAATTTTTTGTCATCATAATGGAGATTGTGTGATCTGTAAGGCTTCCTACTCCTCTCTCTCACTCCTCTGCGTAGCAAATTGGATAGATTGGGCCTGATTCACCAAAACTTTTCTCCACTTTTATGCCAGTTAGGTGGAGTTATACCAGCATAAAAATGGTCTAACACAGTGGTGAATTGGGTCCATTAGGTATAAGGAGAGTAGGCACTTAGGACCCAATTCTGCAACTGATAGCACGTGTGTGAACTGCTGCGCCAGTGCTATATCAATTGCACAATAAGAGCCCTGGTTTGTTTTGCTGGGTAGGTTCGCCTTCTTTAAGGCAGTGTTGCCTAGTACCTATTGGCTTCCGCCCGCCCACTGCTAAAGGATCCCCCCCCAGCCTAAGGGGAGGATCTACAGGACCTGAAAACCAACTGATTTCGGGGGACAACTAATGAAATAACAGGGACAGGAGTGCGGTCAGAGGGTCAAAAGAAGGGAACCTGACGGGGACACCGAGCAGAGAACCCGGGACAGCGCCCACTGCTCCTCGAAGGCGTCAAGGGAGCCAGTGGACGCCGCCCAGAGGAACTCTGCCCAGATACGTGAATGGACAGAGGATCGGAAACAGGCCCCACAGTCACAGGAGTCTCCATCGGCCAACCTTCTCTCCCTGGTTTTATAGATGGCCGTTTTAGCCAGAGCCAGGAGGTCCCGTGACTTTGTGGGGCCACGGATAGGGAGTGCATAGAAAAGGAGGTGAGGGGAAAAATAGATAGGCACCAGGCTGTGACTCAGGAGATTTGGGTTCAATTCCTGGCTCTGCCACTACTTTGCTGGATGACCTTAGGCAAGTCACTTTCCTCCTGGTGCCTGTTTCCGCATCTGTAAAATGGGGATAATGAATCTGGCCACCTTTGTAAAGCACTTTGAGATTGATGGATGAAAAGCACTATAGAAGAGCTAGATACTAGTGTCATGCTGTCTCCGTATATATTCATCAACAATTTCTGCTGCCTCCAAAACCGTGGAAAGTTTTTTGTCACAGATGGCCACTTGTACCTCATCAGTGACTATCCACAGCAATTGTTCTTGCCCTTCATATCAAACAGTTTTTCAAAGTTACCTTCAGCCTCACTCCATTAGTCATTTACTCATAAAATTATACATCTTATGCACATATTCAGCATGACTGATTTTGTCAAACATCTTAAGATTTTTATACTTCCTTCAATAGGACTCAGGGGTAATCTTAAACCTTTTCAATACATTTCCTTTAACTGTCTTATACACCTTAGCATCACTCTCCTCCATATAATTAAAAACTTGTCTTGCCTTCCCAGTTAATCTGGTCAGAAGGATTGGCATGCACTTATCCTCTGGAATCTTGTGGCCCCCACATGGTCTCTCAAAGGTCTCTTACAATACAATCAGTCTCTTGATAAATGGGGCAAGCTTTCTCCCACTCCCTGGTGCTGGGTGGGGATGGACTCACTGGTTGAGGCTGCTGCTTTTGCTGCTCCAGTATTTGAGCTGCAATGCGTGAGTTCTCTCCTCAGCCACTAGTTGTTCCATGCACCTTTGGTGTTGTGGGCTTTCTTCTCCATTTCAGCCTTGGCTTTGACTGCTGCCATATGTTCCATGTGTCATTGGTTGGCTTTCTCCTCAGCCACAGTTCCCAGATCCACAGCTCTGCCATCATTATTTCACGTTCACATTCTTTCTAGGCTTCCAGGTGTTCCAGTCTGGCCAGTTTCCTTCCAGTGTCTGGGGCTGCAGGGCTTTTGGATGCTTGGTCAAAGCTTATGAGCAAATCTCTCAGTTCCTGATGTGGGGTTTGCCTTTTAAAGGATAGTCCCCTGTGCGAGCACAAATGCTCCAGGGCTTTTGTATCAAGACCCTCATATGACTGTGATTCACTCAATGGGACTAACCTTTAACCCTTAAAAACCCTCACTATCAAATCTGTACTTTTAACAGCTCTGGGGTTATGCACTATAAACCCAACTGACCCTGAGGCATGTGAATCCTGCCAAGACTAGGCAATTGTCTGAAATGGCTTATGACAGTGAGTGCCTACCTCAGGGCAGACTGTCAAAAACATGCCAGACACCCCAAACTGGTGGTATGTACCGTAATTAGATTTCACCAAGCCAGTAACAATGTGAACTCCTGGATCACTATAACAGTCTTACCATGGAGTCACAGACAGTTCTCTTAGGGCTTGTCTACACTACCGCGGTAGTTCGACGGCTGGCAATCG